TTTGGCTGCAGTACAGCAGTTTAACCACTGTGCCAGAGCCTTGGGCAAAGGCCAGGACGGTGTCTTTAGACAGACCTCTGCCCTTGTACTTCATTAGAGAGAGGCAGGCTCTTGACTTTAGACTGGTGGAGTACAACACCTACTGCATTGCCCAATATTTTGATTTAATTGCTAATGATCGAAATGGGCACAAGGGACGGAGAGGGAGATATAAGGTGGAATCATCCCACGTCCAATGCAAGCAGCTGTGCAGAAGCCATTTTTGGAACACGGGCAAATGCGTGTAACCTCTGCAAAGCATCCGTCTGCGGTAATTGCCAGAAACATGGGGTCACCATGTTCCAGCTCAGCTATGTTCTAGTTACTCACCCTCTTATCATACACGATGTAATGCATGCACATAGGAGAGGGCGGGGGGGTGGACAGCAAGGAAAGTGAGGAGTGATGAAAGGAGCAGTGGGCGTTTGGGGGTTGGGAAGAAGAAGAAGAGATGGATTTAGGGCTAGAACTATTCAGAGAGGAGCAACTGGAGCTTTGCCTGTGGGCACCAACATTTAGAAGATGCCAACATGATAGCTCAGTGGTTGAGGTACAGTATCTGGTTGCAGAGCCAGAGGTTGGGAGTTCAATTTCCCCACTGGGCCTCCTTGCCAGGGGCCGGACTCCATGATTGGTAGGGTCCCTTCCAGTTCTCCACTCCTATGATGATGATCTAGCAGTGAATCTACTGGTGGCTGTTAGGAAAATAAAAAGCAACAGTTCCAAGTGTTATTGACTTACCTTTTTTTAAAAGATAAACTATCTCTTCCTTTTAAAGCGACACCGCTTTCTCCACCTCCTTTTTCATTGGGGGCGGCTCACAATTATGCTCAGTGTACAGCGTGTGAGAGAAGATGCCACCTGCCCTGGGCACCAGATGGCTAGTGACCCTTCTCGAGGGATGTGTTGGAGGGATCTGGAATTTGGCTGTTTCCCTTTTTTTTTTTTAACAGAGAAAAGCATGGAGGCATCTGTCTAGTCCCTTTCTTTTGGGAAAGGAAAATAACGATTAGCCTGGATGCATCTTGTTGGAGGGAAACAAAAAAACCCCCTTTTGCTTACAATGCATTGCATTGTTCTTTTCTACCTGGAGTGTGGAGCTTCCTCTCCTCACACCTGTCTTCAGAGAGCAAAACGTGGAGGAGGAGAGAGGAAAGGTGGCGGCAAAGGAAGCAACAGGACAGAAGAGGCAGTTTCCAAGACTCTCAGGCCTGTGGGGGGGAAGCCCTCTAAGTTTAATAGCTCATACAGACCATGCTCCTCCCCATAGACACCTCATGTTAAAGAAGAAATAGGTGCAACTGTACGCACCCAACAGAGTGCGTCCTGGGAGAAAGCAAAGGTTGAAGGACAGGAGGTTGGGGGGTGAGGCTAATAAATCTATCATATGGATAAAGAAATACGGAAAATATTGGAGTGGATCTGTGATACCTGATATCCCTGCATGGACAAAAGAAGCAGGATGTTTGAATTCAAGTAGAAGTGAATACATGTGCAGGAAAATCTTTGCCTGGTGTCCCCCAATGTCAGACTGAGAGTGGATGGGTACACCTTTCAGATTAAGTGAGTTAGGGTAGTTTATTGCTGGCATACATCTGTTTATTTACATCTCACCTTTCCTCCAATGAGCTCAAGAGGATGTTTGTGGTTCTCGTGGAGTGGGTCACTCTGAAAGAGAAAGACCTGTTGGGTCAGTTTTATGACCTAGATCCTAGATCCAGGTATTTCCTTTATTTTTTGTCCAGCAATCTAACCATTACACCATATTACCTTTCAAGTGCTTTATTTGTACAGGAAGAAGAATTAAGCTCAGTTTGCTTGACACCACAAGTTATTTGACTTAGAAAGCCCCAGGGAGCTCTGATCCCAGGCGTGGCAGAACTCAGGAATTCTGCACGTGTTTAAAGTCATCTTCCTTGTGTATAGAAAGCTAAGAGAAGAGACATCTATCCAGCTGATGCATGAATAAATCCATCCTACTCTTTCCATTTTTTTAATCTTTTATAAAACAAAACCTAATTAGCATTTACCCCCCCCCCCAAAAAGGGGGGAAGGTTGAGAAAGACTGGCTGAGTTTTGCCTCAGTGACTAAATGTGTGATCCCATGAGGAACTATATCAGAATTTGGACAACTTGTGGAGCAGTCCAATGTGATCTACTTCCTGGTGATCCCACGATGTTCAGGGAAATGGGCTCCCGCATGACCTTGCTCCCCGCCCAAGTGGATTATTATTATTATTATTATTTTTTTTGGTCCTGCTGTAGGGCTACTGATTTTTTGGGGCCAGGCTGGAACGATTCTCTGCAGACAAGAGGTTGCTTTAAGGGGGATTGCGTCTGTTAAAGATACTTTTTCTGGTGTGATCAGCACCCTGTGTTTGCAGCCATCTGATCGTGCCATGAACTAATCTACCATTTCGTTAGGCACAGATATGTTAGGGTCTGACCCAAAGATTCTCCACTGGCAAGTCTTTGGGTCTGAGTCCCAAGTCTGAGTCCGAGTCTTTGGTACCAAGTCTTAAGCCCCAAGTCCGAATCTCTATTAAAAACAAGTCCCCCCCCCAAAAAAAGAGGTGGGTGGGTGGCATCTGAACCGCAAGTCAAGTTCAAGTCATTAAAAAAACCCCATCTGACCTGAGTCCAAGTCAAGCAGTTGATGCAACTTAAGTCTGACTTGACAGCAAAGCAAAGCAAAGTGTGTTGCTTATATACCATCCCTTAACGCTTCAAGCACTCTCTGGGCAGTTTACAAGTTAATTATGCAGGCTACACATTGCTCCCCGCCCCTGCAAGCTGGATACTCATTTTACCGACCCCAGAAGGATAGAAGGCTGAGTCAACCTTGAGCCGGCTACCTGGGATTTGAACCCCAGGTCGTGAGCACAGTTTTGGCTGCAGCGCAGCAGTTTAGCCACTGCACCATAAGACTCCACAGCAAATCCTGTGACTGGATTCCTGCCCTTCAATTCTTTTCTGTCATGAATGCATTAGAGGCCAGATGTTCATGCTGTAATCTTCCATTGTTTTTTACTCCCTGCAAGCTTTGTGCAGAAATGTGAACTCCAGAAAGTACAGTTATGTCCCCCCAAAATGTGCACATGTGGTGACTGTAATTGGCTGCACCCCCTCTTTATGAACTGGCTCTATTTGCTGCATCCTGAGTTGCTTTTGTAAGCCACACAGATAAAAGTTGATGTGAATTCTTTGTGCTCTCATGTAGCTCACTCAGGGAACAGTGGGAGGAGACATCATGGCCAGTGCGTGGGAGTTGTTGTCCAAAATAGAAACTTTTTTCAAAATCTGCTTTGAGTCAAGTTTGTGGTTACTTGAGTGAATCACTGCCCAAAGATTAGCATTTTCCTCCCAGTGAACTAGAGTCACCCCCCAAAACCTCCCATTTAGAAGGATTCTAAATGTGTGTCCAGCAAGGCTATGGTTGATGAGTAGGCCACACGCCTGGTGGATCAAACTACTCTGGTGATGGCAAAAGAATGCTACCCATCCATCACGGCCTGTCAGCCAGCTGCTGCGCTGGCAAGGACATTTTACTGAGCTGAAGGCAGCTGATGAGAAAGTTTTGAAAATAAGCTGAGCTGGGCTGCAACTGAACAAGATGGAGGAGATTTCGAAGAGTAGAGAAGAGAGGAGGAAGAGGCTACCAGAGTGGGTCTAACCATCGGTTCATTTAACTCAGACTCATTTCTAGCCTGACCAGATGCTTCTGAGAGATGTTTGTCACCAGCAGAAGTGACACACCACTTGTTTGTTCCCAGTATCTAGCAGCATCATTCAAATGTGTCCACTGAACACCTTGGTTGGTAACCAAATGCACCTATGATCCCTCCTCTGTTAATGTTTTGAGCTGGTCTTCTGCAGTGGATCAGGCTGTGAGCGGGATCTTGAAAGATCCTGCTTCAAATCTGAGCTCAGGGGCAAGAAATTATTTGGTAGTTCTTCACAACATGAAGCGTAGTTTGGTAGAAATTTGGATGGGGAAAACCAGGTCTAGGGATCTTTTGGCCTTTTGAGATGTCTTGGACTATTAGCTTTCCGTGCTGGATGCCATCAGTGGGGGTTATAATTCAAACAATTTGGAGGGCCCAGAGTTCCTTAGCCCCCAGGATTAAATTCTGGGTCCCTCACTCTATTCAAGGTCCCACCAGCGCCCTGCGGTGGTTTGCGAATCAAAATAGTGTTGGCTTGTTGTAGATCTCATAAATTTGGCCCAACAATAAAGGTGGCATCTCTCCATGTGGCCCAGGTGTTGCCCTGGAAATAATATGAATGCACCTTTGTCTCAGTTGTGAGCTTGTTCCAACTGCCACCCAGAATAGACCATTGGTCTAGATGGGCGGGGTATAAATCTAATAAAATAAATAAAAATAAGTAACTAAATAAAACTGCTGAATTTGGTACTTCTATATCGTAGAACTGTACATTCTCAATGTCAAGCTTCTGAGGCTAGCAAAGCAACAGGATGTCAACAGGATGGTCAACCCACTATACAGGGCACCCACTGTAAACCAGCATTCCCCAGCACAGCAGCCCAGAGCTGTGTTGGACCACAATGCCCATTATCCTCAACTGGGAGTGATACAGCTTGTGGCCCAAAACACTTGGAAAACATTGAGATAGAGAAGGTGTTTTACAAATCTGAAGGTTATTGGGTTCTGCATTTTTTTTTGAGATCCAAAGATACCTAAATGCACAGAGTAGGGTTCAGATGAAATGTATCATATCAATAAGTAAAGGATCATATCTTCTGGCTGGTTTAATTAAAGTTCCAAATTTCTCTACTTCTCTGATAGGTCGTGTGTGTGGAGGGCCATGTAACCAAGACCCTAAACTATTTAGAGATGAGCCCTGCAAATGTCTTGAAGACGGGATCCTACAGCACTGCTTTGAAACCTCATTCCCTCAGCCCTGCTCGGATATTTTCCGGCGAGCCATCCAAAGCCAAGCTGGACCCCTACGGTGGTGCCCTGAATCCATGGGACTGGAGCAAGAACCAGACAGCCATGGAGCACTTCAACCAGCGAGCCAAGAGGAAGCCATCAATGAAGGCAGGCCGTACCAAGAAGATCTTTGGCTGGGGGGACTTCTATTTCAACATCAAGACCTTGAAGTTTAGCCTGTTGGTGACAGGCAAGATTGTGGACCACATTAATGGTACCTTCAGTGTGTACTTCCGGCACAACTCCTCCAGTCTGGGCAATGTCTCGGTGAGCATTGTGCCTCCAACGAAGGTGGTTGAGTTTGATGTCTTGGTTCCCCCGATCCACCCTCAGCATCTCCATCCTCAGCAATCTACCTTAGCCGAGCCCAGGGAATCCAAGACCTTCAATTGCCATGTGGAGTATGAGAAGACCAACCGGGCACGCAAGAACAAGCCTTGCCTCTACGACCCCTCGAAGATCTGCTTCACTGAGCACACACAGAGCCATGCCGCTTGGCTGTGTGCCAAGCCTTTCAAGGTCATTTGCATTTTCATCTCTTTCTTCAGCATCGACTACAAGCTGGTTCAGAAGGTCTGTCCAGATTACAACTTCCAGAACGAGAACCCTTACTTTGGCTGATGAAGGACCAGGTGTTTGAGGGGGCTGGGGTGGTGGTGGTGGTAGTTGTGGTGGGGGTTAACAAGAAGTGGTGGTTTCCGAGTGGCAGCTAAAAGAACTTCAGTAGATGGCACAATAGACAGAAGAGGATCTCTCTCCATGATCAATGGGGAGTAATTCCTGGTTCTGAATTAGAACTGGATATGGTTCTGCCGGACAGACATTCTTCTCCCAGTTGCCACTCATTGTCCCAGGACTTTCAGAAGATCAGTCAAAGGAACAGCATTACTTTCACACACCATCTATACTCTTTCTGACACCATTTGAGGAGTCTTCTGAGAGTTATCAGAAATATGAAGAATGGTTAGTGGTGGCTCACTCACTCTCTTTTGTGCATAAATGAACCCTGCTGCTTTTGTTTAGTTTTCATACAGGCAACACATTCACTCTCTTGGGGATCATGCCTCCCATGTGGATTGTAAGAGTTCTGATAGCAGCCACAGCCTTGTCACTCCCTTTCTGTTCCGTACACACAGATGCATATTCTTGGGCTGAGCCACGATGTCGTTAATCTGCATTGCCACTAAAGTTCCTGTTGGCCACGCTAATGATAAGGGAAAGGTATATTAACCATATTAACTTTGCATCTTGCCAGGTGTCCTACAAGAGGAAAGAGCAATGAGTTCTGGGAATGATAGTATTGGTGGGGGGAAAAAATCTATCAGCCACATGCACTCCTTGTGCTGTGAGGGGACAGGAACATAATGTGGAAAAGGTGAATTGTGTTCAATTTAGGGGGGCAGGGAAGATATACAACTCCTGGAATTGAACTCAGGGTAATCAGGGAAGTTAGGGTTCAAGGTGAGAACATGCTGCACATGGCATTGGTGTGAGAGAAGTAGGAGAAATGGGAGGTTTATAAAACAACCTCAGTGCAACCAGAGTTGAAACATATCCTTATTTGTGTGTGGAAATGGAACTGTTAAGTTCTTGACAGAGGCTTAGGTGAGACTGAACAAACTAAAACAGGTGGGTGTGTAAAGGCAGCCAGAGAGAGAAAGAAAGTCAACAGGAACAAACACTTGACCCAAATAAGTGGGTGGAGCGTTTATGTACCTGTGGCATGACAGCTTGCCTGAATGTGTGCTATGTTATATACATGCTTGTGGCCTTAATGACGTATGTGTTCACCAGAGTGTTTATTTGAGAACGTAACTAGAAATGTATACGTGTGTTTGCAATAGTAACACAGTATGTGAGATTTCTAATTAGGGCCATGAGTTTTCGCTGATTCTTTGACACACCAGTCAACTAGAGTTTTGAGCACAGGTTAACAATTGTCCCTCTGATGGATCCGCAGGGCTTGCAGTTGAAAAGCTTGCCCCTGGAGGGTCTCAATGGGTGCAACATCCCCCTCCTTTCCTGCACATGAGTTTTCCTTTCAATTTACCTCCCAAACAAGCAGATAGTTTTCCAACACAAGGTGAAACCACTGGGGGGTTCCTGCCAGCAATAAGAGCCACAAAGCAACCGGGGCTGACAGCACTCATGTGAAAACGACACCAGTTTGTCTTTTAAATCATCATCTTCCACAATACTGATGGGGTCTGATGTTGCATCAATTCTGAAGCCATTTTCACTCCCATGTGCTACTGCAAAGGGGGATATTCTGTATAAAAAATTAGTATGTGAACAATAGCCTTTCCTTCCTAATAGTGGGTGGGTAGCTTACGTTTATTAAAGGGTAAGCACCCTTACTTCTAAGAGGAAGCTGTTCTTTTCCTGATACCACTTCAAAAGGGCCCCTGTCCTTTTTGTGATTTGGGTAATGCAAAATCAAATTGAAATATAATTGGTCCACTGATCAAAAGCCAGGTGATTAATCAGCAAACAAATGCAAAAACTAGTTGACAGCTTTAGTTTTAATACGTGCATATGTTTAGGCAGGATAATTTAATTAGAGGATAGATGGATGTATATGTGTCGGTGTGTGATCAGAAATTTGAATGCTGTAATAAGGAGTGTCTGTGTAGACATTTATGGATGTACAGGTGACGGGCTGCTGATAACCTATGTGGGATTGCATGTGCTAGTAGGGTATGCATAAGGCCTTGACTTGTGTGGCTGTATGAAAAAGAGAGACCACATTTATTTTCTATTACAGTATGATTGCTTTGGATTCCTCTTGCACCATCTGACTGGGCTTGCACAGATGAGTCCTCTAGAGCAGTGGTCCCCAACCTTGGGCCTCCAGATGTTCTTCGATTCAACTCCCAGAAATCCTGGCCAGCAGAGGTGGTGGTGAAGGCTTCTGGGAGTTGTAGTCTAAGAACATCTGGAGGTGCAAGGTTGGGGACCACTGTTCTAGACCAGTGATTCCCAACTTTGGGTTCCCAGACATTCTTGGACTGCAACTCCCAGAAGCCTTCACCACTAATGTGCTAGCCAGGATTTCTAGGAGTTGTGGTCCAAGAACATCTGGGGATCCAAGGCTGGGAACCATGGATCTAGAGCATTGATTCTCAGTGGCCTTCTAGCTGTTTTAAACGCCAGTTCCCAGAATCTCTGGCCATTGCCTGGGGCTTGTAGCACTTGAAGTCCAGAATCTTTGTCATGCCTAAGGTTGAGAACAACACCTCCAAAACAGGCTACCCTGAAACAGCTTCTGCCCCACTCTTGTCTGGGGATGCTGTAGATATGGAACTATTGGTGGGTTTCTGGGTGATGTGCACTGCACTGATAAGGGTTTAATTGTAGCAGAAACAAAATGATTTTTCCCAGCCCTAAATTATATTGTCAAAGCAGCAAAGATATTTATGTATTGTTTTGGAGATCACTGTATCTCTTTCTATTTTGGAAATCATGCAGGACGCTCAGGAATGGGTCTTTAAAGATGGCAAGCACTGTTCATTTCTAACATTAAAAGCAAATTCCTGGGCTCAGAATTCTTTAATTCCACTTGTACATCTTTTGTGCCTGGCTGTAATGGGTGGGTCTTGAGGTTCTACTGAAAAATAAAATAGATCTTTCCCATTCCTGACCTGGATAATATTTTGCCATTTTCTCTTCTATGATGTCATGGAGTTCCTTGTTTTTTTCCCCTGCAGCTTACCATACTCTGCTTCTCACTCCAAATATTACATAGACTTTGAAATCAGTTTTGGAAGCCTCAGCACCAAGGGAAGCTGTATGGTGTTGTTTTGGTGACCAATGTCTTCTCTGATGTTTAACATCAAAAACAATGATTCCATTGATTTTTGAAAATAATAACTGAAAGAGGCAAATGACAAGGACAGTGACATAAGACAGCCCAGTTGTTATTGTTTCCGGACAGTTTTAAGAAGTCTAGGTGGGAAATTGCTTTTGACTCTTCTGCTATGTTAGACACTTCTTGCCTCTGCAAAATTAGTCCTATCAAGGAAAGAAGGTATTGTTTAGCCTTCTTTCTGACATGTTAGTCTTTCTGCTTTCAGATTTTGGGTTGTTTCTTCTTGACAATAATAACAATGACTTTCAGTCTTCCCTTTGAGCTGCGAAGTAGGCACCATCCTAGCAACACAGTGTCATGTATAATAGACCTAGGATTGGGGATAGGTGATACCTTTATAGCCGAGTAATTAAAAAAAATCATACAATATGCAAGCTTCCGTGGATAAATCCCACTTCTTCAAAGCAAGTATCCAAAGTCCAAATGTTCATAGCAAGAGGGGGTTTGCCAGGCATGTCTTTCTTAGATGAGAATGTTTAGACTTTGGGTATTTGCTTTGAAGAAGTGAAATTTATCCGTTAAAGCTTGCATATTGTATGGGTTTTTATTTTTTTATTAGTGGCCTGTAGTGGTATTGCCTATTACCTATTTTTGCATTTGTGTTTTCTAATGGCCAAATGGCTCCCCCTCTTTTTATTTCGATGGAATTATGAGGAAACATGGAATTGAGAGAGTTGAAGCCCACAGCCAAACACATACAGACATACACATCATCCCACCCCACCCTCTTCAATGTTCCCTTTTGGCATATATGCAATCCTCACAGTAGCTGTGAGAGAAATTAATTTTCTAAGCAAATGGCTATTGATCCAAGCTGTCCCTGTTATCATGCAAAGTATCTGAGCATGGTTTTGACTTCAGTGGGCAATTAAGAGCCATTAACGTTGCAAAAGATCTGTTCCCCACTTGCCTGCATTTCTGGACTTTCCTTAGGGAAGGTGCTTAATTATTGGGAGTGTCATGATGAGCATATGCACTTCCACATTGTTGTAATATTGCTGCTCATGTGATATTTCTGAAATCGTAGATCAGCTACAGATGTTCAGACGTCAGAGACAAAGGCGAGAGTCCTGTTAGCAAGCATGAAGCATAACCATTTCATAGACATAGTGCTCCACACACACTGAACTGCACCTTGCTCATGTATGCAAGATGGAGATTTGCCCTGCTCAAAACAACCTGGCTTTTCACATGCACAGATTTATACAAAAGAATGTTTACTATACAAAGGTATAGTAAACATTCTCTTGTATAAATGGTGGGAGAAAAGGAAACAGGCATGTAATAGCCCATCACATGCATGATTTAAATAAACAGGATTGCCACCAAAATTCAAGATCACTTTCCAAATTTGCAAATCACATTGGAGGACAAGATGTAACTTCTTGGTGAATTCCTGGAATTTTAACATGAACTGTATCTTTTGCAAAAGTAGCATTGACCTCCAGCAAACCATTCTTCCATTTAGGTAACTTTGTTTCCATGGAAGCCATGGATTCAAACATGCCATGAATTATGTACCACAAAAGTGGCTGATGTCTTTGGGACCTTTGTGAGCAATGCTTACCAGTGAAATAAAACATTCATGCCAGAATTTATGAGCTGTAGATCATGAACCAAAAGCTGTAAAGGAGAGAATGGAGTAACCACCTGGCATCTGCACAAGCAGTACTGAATCATCCCATGCCACCCTGCTCCTAAATTTAGAGGTACAGGTTGTGTTGCTTCTGCTGTTGTTTCTCTCCTGAAAATTAAAGGAGAAAGCAGCTGGAAAAGAGTTCAGACTAGTTGGTTCTCCTGTGTTGTTGGGTGTGTG